TTCTTAAGGCGTTAGAGTGAGCAATAAAGACTGACACATGATGGAGACATGCCAGAGACGAATCACGGAGCAGAAAAGGGATATATACATTGACAGGAACTCAGACACAAATGTGAAGACAATTGTGCTGAAGTGAAAACCTTGTAAGGTGATATACAAAAGGTCAACAGCATTTGACCCCATTAAGGGTGGCCTGAGGTGGTTGGAATGAGAGGTCTTTCCGCGAGCTGAAGTCTTCTATCCGCATCCTGAGAGGCGGAAACGCTACGAACTCGTGGTCAGTACTTTAAGAGAATAACCAGATGAACAAGTGGAGAGGGATGGTAATACCAGTACATGAAAGATATGGTGCCTCCTGGGCTAGAGCTATGTGTACATTACAGTGCCTAGCTGCAGAGGATGAGCACCGATCACCCAACCAAGTGATGGCTGGCTTTTGCGTGGGATGGCACCATAGGCCACGAGAAGTCCAAACCATCAGTGCTAGGGCTGTAGCCGGGTCTTGCTTCTGCAGCTCACTGCCTTAGGTCGGCAGGGGAGCGTAGGGAGCAGGGGTTCCCTCTTACGCACTAGAGAGGACGTGTCAAGTATCAAATACTCCGTCTCAAGCATGCAGTGGAGGCCGTGGGCGACAAGGTGGGTTAAAAGCCCCGAGAGGCGTCAGTCCCGAGGGACCTATCAAGCTTAACGCTGTTCTCCCGTCCTTCCAGAGGCCTTTGATGTTCTCATTCTTCCGGTGCTTTCAATGGGCGGTTAGCGATTGGAGGGAATCGGGTCTTGACCTGGCGCATCGTCCACCGTTGCTCCATCTGTAGATATGCTAATCACCGGTGAGAGCAGGTTTCAGGTGTCATCAAGAGTTGGTGACTGAGTTACTTGCTAGATTTTAGTGCGTTTTTTAGGTAGTTAATGTTAGTCTGTCAGTCAGCAGCCAAGTGTCAGTGAGAAAGAATGTTACCATAATTGACCGGACCATCGTAAGAAATGGAAGGAGAAAGAGTGCTTACTGCTAATTATACTTAATCAAGGAAATCAACACTCGCGGCAGTCAATTGCAATGCAAACATGCATGAACCGATGTTGTTTCGCGAGGGAAGATAGAGTCGTAGTGATAGATGGATGGAGGGAGGGAGGGAAGAAGGAGGGGAAAGAGTGGAACGGAAACAAGTTAAACTCCTAGACTCCGCCCTAGTAATGCCGGACCACCCAGAATGGAATGACGCCGGTGTCAGGTATTATTAGCATCCAAATCGATCGCGTCCTTGAGATTAATTGTTTCTACATAGACTACTGAGTAGTATAAGTATCAACTATAGCTGTCAGGTGAATATGAAATATCACTGAATATCGATTGGTCGTCCCAGTTGGCTGGTAACTGACCCAGCCGGAAAAATGCCACTACAGAGATATTGACAGTGTACTGTATGTACTGTACATACTGTACATAGAGTACAAGTTTAGCGTACAAAATTACGCACACTATGACGGTTGATGGCCCAGCCCTAGGAGAAAAAATAATGGTTCACTGAGGAAATCAAGCAGGTATAACCGCCCAATTAGTAGTACGCATGTGAAGTAGTATCGATGTATGATACACTACCCAAGCAATTAATTTGATCTCAATGTGTTACTTAGCACAGGCCAGCTCATACTCGTACCAAGTATTATCAGTAGCGTGCGTGTTGAGATCGACTGCAACCCATAGGAATCTTTCCTGTCCGTGTGGATTTTTCTCCGAATGGTAACTTTACTTACGGAGTACTAGGTTACTAGGTACGTACTCCGTGCTTTCGTACTAGTAGTACTAGACTAGACTACGGTACAAGCGCAACGGGTACCTGAGATGTGGGGCTGCCACAGTCTTTTTCCACCTGCCAACAAAGACACTGGTACCTTCACGGTGGGTACCGGATACCGTACACGGTACTAGACTACTGCTCCGTAAATTCAAATGCGCCACAGGTTCCCGTGGCCTTCCCCCCCCCCCCCCCCTCTCTCTCTCTCTTCCCTCCCGGGGCTCTTTGTTCATCCTTTCCCTCTTGGACTTCTCACTCCTTTCCTCCACCCTCTGTTCCTCACCCTCTGCCTCCTCAACCATCTTGCCCCATTTATTTCCATGTCTATTGGCTCGGTTTAAATTTCAATGCATCAGAGAAAGTTGGTGTTCTGTCTCCAACACCGTTTTGCAAGTGGCTGAAAGCTAGGAGGTTGAAGTAGGGGGCCAAACACCCCCCTCCCCCAAAAGACCCAGTTTCAACGCCACGCAGGACTACGGTACTATAAGCAGACTACATTTTGGACGGTTGATTCAAATCGGCGGGGCCTTGCTCCCTCCTGCGTGCATGGTTCTCGTGCATGGACCATGGTCAGTCTCAATTAGACATTACGCTGCAGAGTACAGGCCATCCTCGCTTTCAATTCAGTGGCTTCCCCTCCCACAGCGACTAAGAACTCAAGACTTGCTGCTTGTTTGGTTCCTCCGGTCATAATTGACCCGTCGATTCATCCCGTCAGTGGCAAGATTGGCTGTTCCATTCGCAAGACGCTCCGTCGATGGGCGAGTAACTAGTAGTAGCAGAAGGCTACTACTTCTCACGAAATACTTGCAGCTCAAGCGCAGCGGCATTCGTTGAACTTGCCCCGTGGGCAAATATCATCGCCCGTTCGCTTTACAGTACATCTTCCTGATGGATTTCGTCCCTGCGCGCCCTGCCTGTTACTTATTGGACGGGATGGTAGGTATGAAACCAACAATGACAGCAGAAAGAACCCCCCCCCCCCCCCCCTTTTTCCTTTCCTGCACGATACTATAATATGATATTTATGTCATTCACTCCGAACCTTTGGCCTTTTCCAACGGAGGACCAGTACAGCTCGGTTACAATGAGTATTGCTTACCTTTACTCGCTTCCCTTTACATGATTTCCACCTTCACCGTGCCTTTTCTAATTTTCTTCGATGGGGGCAGCCTTGTCCTACCCAAAGTTATCATACATGACATATACTGCTTGCTTCCACTAAGCTTGACAGACTGTCCGGATCAAAATCACTACCATGCTTGGTAAAGAAGAGAGAGAAAGAACGACGGAGAGAGAGCCAACCTATCTCGGTCTGGCCGTTTCGGAACATCCTTGCAGTCTTCGTTCCATTGCTTTTTGCACTAACGGGACCCATTTATTTACCCAGCCTCCAGGATTTTACTCCTCGTCTGCGCCTGTTGCGGAGCCTTTCACCCCACCTTGCGGTTATCAAGCACCTCCGCCGCTATCCAATTTCTGCCAGTCATTGCGGTGTGCATTCCCGCTATCATGAATAAGGCCAATGCACATTTTTGCATGTGCTGCAACTGCACGCCAGAAGTCTAGGTTCAGAGTACGCGGGCCTCCAGACATGGCTAATGACCATGGAAGCTCGCCCTAGCTAATCTTCTACAAGTTTTCGACTTGGATATCATCTTCCTAGGAACTGTTGCTTCCAGTACCCGGCCCACACTCTCTCGACCGACCCAGACCATCGGTGCGTCTGGATGCTTCCACGGTAATTCGCTTATCATGCACGCTATGGAGACCGTACTCCATCCTATGAGAGGGGTCTTCTCCGCCCCAGAGGTTGACAGAACCTTTGGTTTAGAAATGGCAAGCTTCTTCGCAGCCCACAGCCGTGGCTTGACGCTTCTTCGCGCCTATTAACCACCGTCTATTTCCACGGTATTTCTCCAATCCACAAACGAGGCTTTAAACTTTGGTTCCATCCCGTAGTCAGGGCGTACAGCAGTAGTCGCAGGCTGTTGTCGCATTACTTCTTCACGCCGAGCCCGGCTAGGTCCTGTGCCCCCTACACTCTCATCCGGCCAGGTTCCCATGGTGTCCCAGCAACATGCATCCTTAGCTCTTTCCCTATGCTCTGTCGTGCCCCTCCTGGTCTTTTTCGTCCTTTCGCGGGCCGGCCAGGGCTACTGCAGCCCCTCCTTGGTGAGGCATTGTTTGATTCCTTTGATTCCTGTCTCGTCGGAGGAGGATGCGCACTTGAGGTCACTTGAAACCATCGTGTTTTCGAAACACTATTCTGTTCTCGGTAGGGTCTCGGTCTAATCCCACCTGAGACTGGTTGGATCCGCTGTATTTCATAATTCGGTCTGATCTGAGTCCTGACCCATCATGGCTCTTCTGTATTGTTCGCGAAATATCGTCTTCGGTTGACGGACAGTGAGCATCCCGGAAAGGAGTCCCTGCAGCTTCCCTTTCTCCCTCCGGCCACACATTTGTGGCAGCTACAATACTGTCCTGCGCGGTTCCGAGGGTAAAAAAGTCCGTCTGGCTAGAAAAAGTCCCTGGGATGATTCAGTGCAACTCAACGACTGGTCCAGCTTCTTCTGTTTCTTCCTTTCCATTTCCTGCATTTTCTTTTCCCCCTCTATCTGTGGTGTGCCAATATGCACCGTTGAAACTGCTCGTTCCAGATAATCTTGTTTGATCTCCAACGTCGACATCTGATATCTTTCCTGTGGGGAGGGCCCCGATCCTCTTCTGTTCAATCGTTTGACTGATTCCATCTCCGGCTTCTTTAGCCCTGCGAAAGGTCTCTGTTCTTCAGTGCCTTTTTCAGTGTGGTGGTCCTTTGCAAACATCAAGGCCGCTTCTTTCATTTTCATTCTGGTGCTTCGTCTCCCACCTCGCCCGAATTTGCCTTGCTGCGGCATCCTTTGCCCTGGCCTCATATGACCTTCGTTATTCCTGCTTCCCGTCTCTTATGCGTTCGTTCTTGAAGTAATCGTTCTTTTGAACTTCAATGTCTATTATCAACTCTCTGCGCGTCGATTTTATACCCTCTCCTTCGTTTGCTGACTGTTGTTAGTTGGAGCGTCGTCCTTTCCTTTGTCCTCGAATGCGGTTTTCACTAGCCCACATTACGCGCTTCTTCCTGAGCGCCCACGCGGTGCTCCTTTGCTGTAGACGCATCATTCTTTCTGGGAGGCTCTTTCTGATTTCGCTACGAGTATATCCTGTTTCTATTGTCCCTATCGCTTTTTCTTCCCTGGTTAGAATTTGTTCTTGGTGGCTCTCCAACGCTGTCGCTCGGTTTCGCCGCAGTGCGCACTTTTATCCTGGTAGGCTTTGGTACTGCTTGTGTACTTTTGGATTCTCAAAGTCGCGTGACGCGTCACTCTTTACGTCTTGTCATCATTGTCTAGAATCCCGATCTCTTCTATTGACTCATTGTCGCCGGTTGGGCCGACTCTAGAAGAAAAGCCGCTTCTACCCAGCTTCCATGGTCAACTGGATATGTCGAATCTACCAGAGAGGCCATGGAACGAGGAGGAGAAGGTACGAAAATTACCCTTTTTTTCGTTCGTTGTTCTTTCTATTTGGACCTTTCGATCAATGAGATCGCAGGTGTTAAACGATCCTGTGACTTGTTTTACGGACGACTAACGATGGACTTAAGTACACGCTACTTACCGAGATCTTAAAGAAGGCCAGAGTTCCCTCGAGCCACTTAGTAAAAATGATCCGGGATTTCGGTATCACGCCAAGCTGGACGGACATCCCCTTGCCTCAAGGTACAAATCTGTCATTCGATGTCCTGGAGGTTTCAGTTCGACTGAGCACATGTGCTAGCCCACATTGGGCCAGAGAACACTCCCTGATTTATGTCTGCTAGCTGACGCCGATCAACTTAGGTCGCTCACTCAACTCCTGCCAGATGGCGTTCTACAACATGTGTCAGCACGTGCCATTATCATTATCTGTCAATCCCGGCCGTGGGCCGGTTCCTCCTCACGCCCACGAATCTGCACCGCCAGCAACTGCACCCTTGGACCCCAGTGCTTTGCGTAAACGACCTCTGTTTCCTCTAGATAAAGGGATCCGCCCCCCTCGTGCAATTCAGCCACGCCCTGCGACCAGTACTGCTTCTTACAGTAGCGAAAGTGGTGCCTCGACCCTTTTGTCTCCCAGCTCGGAGAGTATCACTGTCAGAGGCGAACCTCCGCGGAAAAGAGGTCGCCCAAGCAAGGCTGAATCAGAACGACGTAAGGCAGCTGCTGAGGCCCGCGGGGAAACCTATCCTCCTCCGCGACGATCCGGCTCAACCAAAGGGAAATTGCCTTCTGCGCCAACTAGTCCTGCTGGCCTGGGGCCTGGAGCACCTTTATTCGGTCCCCGGGTCGTTGGCAGGCCGCTGAATTCGTCTCAATCCGAATTACACTACCCTGCACCACCGAGGCGGCCATTATCATTGGGAGGAGCAATCGGTGAAGCGCGATTGCAAGAAATGCCCAGTCAGGAATTGGTACCTTCAAGGAGGGAATTGCCGCGGCCCCCAGAAATGAGACAAACTCTGCCTTCGCCACAAGCGCTACAATTAGGACATAGGGAATCGATTCAAAGACGAGAAACAGGCGATCGGTCATTCGAACCCCTTCTGCCTGATAGGACATCATTCGTGGAGAGCAATCGGAGGAATCTAATTCATCCTCTCGCCAGGCGCCCGGAAGAAGCGCATGGGACGGCTCCAGAATTATTGATAGAGAGACCAGCAGAAACTCGATCTGAATAACGTACAATTCCGGCAAAGATGGAAATCCCTTTCTTTTCTCAGAAAGTATCGACTCACGATTAATGATTCCATGTCAATCACAAAAGACAATTTCCCTCTCTTTTCAAATCGTTGTCGCGAACAAGATCGATCAAGTAACGATGACAGCCCAGCTATACCAGGGAACGTGCCCAACGCATGGCTCGTTCCACTCACGTGCAACTTCTATTATCTGCTTCTTTTCTATACGATCTACGATACATTTTCTTACTTACAGCGCGCAAGCATATTATTTATGTCCGGGCTAAAGCATCTAGCAGAAGGGTCCAGGCGTGTCAAACATGTCGAATTGGAGAAAAGAATTCAAGCAAGAACGCCTTCTAGAGACATGTTTCCAAGTTTTGGAATATCGCATTCTGCCAGCATTTACGTCTGCGCATATGGATCGATGACAGATTATTTATGAATTTGTTTGAACAAAACAACAAAGAACTATCGTTTCTTGCCCTGTACAATTGCTTGGTCGGCAACCTTATGAACAATGAGACATGATATCACAAGTCCTTGTGTTACTGATTCGCAAGTCATACTTTTTTTGATCTATCTCCCTGCCAACAATTTTGTTATGCCTTTTACTGATGTCTTTTCAAATGCGCCAACCTGCCGCGCACTTCTCTATGTCACATACTTGATTACTTGTATGATACTAATTATTGCATGGTGTTATATAAGAGCACAGCATTCAGCCCAGTCCTTGATGCTACACAGCTGGTGTGCAAGGGAGAGAAAAAGCACCTACCAATGCGACGAGATCAGATTTTTTTGAGACAGTGCACAATATGGATCCATGTATAGACCATTCCACTAGTCATCTATTGTTGTTGAGGCCACAGCTAATACTAGTGAAATGCCACCCTCCATTCTTTCATGGATCAGCACATTTTCTGACTCGGTCGACTATGTTTCGTAAATGAGATGCAGAGCGCTCGGGGTTCGATGCGTCCGTCGTAGTGACTCCGGCTGCAGTAGCCAACGGCAGTACATCCGAGGATTTTACTCTCTGCTGTTGTTCCAGTTGCAGCCTGATTGCACTCACAGCAGAAGCCAATCCAGAGCTAGATGTTTTCTTCACACCGAACATTGGCCCCAACTTTGTGGCGTTCTCACCTACCAGCTTCATCACATCGTCTTTACCTTCTACGCGACGGGTCAAGTACACTTTGGGCTCTCTGCCCTTGCGAGGAAAGCTGGGTGCTCGGATCCGCTCGATTTCCTGTCGGTAGGCAGTCTCATAGATATCGAATTCCGCAGCACCAGGGGACTCGCTCACGATCGGACAGGCCATATCAGCGTTTAGGTCGAGGTCTATGGCAGTATCCACATCGGCCGGATCCTCAGCCATTTTTCCTGGTTCTTCTGGAATGAGATGATTCACTGCATAGTCACATCCTTCGCTCGAAGGGGAGCCCGTATAAGTTGACGGCCCAATGAAGAGGAAGGGGAATTCTTCTTCGAGAGGGTCGCGTGCATGTCCGCGCGTCCCCTCAACGCTGCGCTTGGTTGTTGCTGAGCTTGCTCGGGATAGTGGTATGAAAGGAGACGGAGACTGTGGCGTAGAGGTGGGTTGCGGGTCGTCAATGAATCCTCCTCGAACATTGATATTGCGTACGGAGCCCGAGTCCTTGCTCTCTGGCGCGTCTTCCGTACCGATTCTGCAACTGCTGACAGTGGTGGGATCCTCTGTGGGGAGTTGTTGACCGCCACCTGACGGTTGGTTGTGATTTGATTCTTCGCTCTGACCGTGAGGCTCTCTCAAGGCGTAATGCTGCTCCCAAGCTGTCCTGTTGTATGTGTTCAAACTTTGAGCCTTGCTCTTCGCACCCAAGTGACCAGTTGCAAAGCTCTCTTCTGGCTCCATTTCCAGTGGGGGCTCTACGAAATGGGTCTCGTACTCCTGACCGAGAATACTCTGCATTGGAGGATCGCTCTTTGCTGGATCAAGTAGTTTTTTGAAGCGCTTCACGGCTTTGATCTATGTTTCGTTAGGGGTTCTTCATCCGCTGATGGAAGGCTTAGGAACAAAGGGGATTTAAAAATACTTACTACAGCCATGACATGCCCGATAGTCCTAGTGATAGCTGAATTCATCTCCTCCTCGGTCGGAAAGTCGATTATCTCCGCTGTGTTCTCGGTTTCTGACAGAAGAGGGTCCAAGCCGTCTTTTGTTACCCATGGATGCTCCTGCAGTTCACTACATGAGCAAAGTACGTTCCAGAGGATCTACACTCGCCCAAACTTACTCGCAGCTCATGCATCTGGATCCGTTTTGTCGGATCTTTTTCCAAGATCCGAGAGATCAGATCACGAAAGTTGTCGTCAGTCTCCTCCTCACACACAACAGCGTCGTTCTTGATGGCCTCATAAAGTTCGAAAATACTTTGCTTCTCAAACGGAAGCTTTCCATAGCGCAGACAATACAGCGTGACGCCCATCGACCATATATCTGCCGCTTTTCCCGAAACGTCGCCGTGCTTCACGACACATAATTCCGGAGGAAGGAAGGCAGGAGAGCCCGCAGACTTTGCCGTGTACATGCTAGAATCCTTTTCGAACATCTCAGACACGCCGAAGTCGACAACTTTCAGGACGTCGTCATTCGTTACCAGGCAGTTGTCCGGTTTGATATCTCGGTGTACGATGCCCTGAGCATGGAGGTATTCAATCCCGAGAATCAAGTCACGGAACCAGCAGCGACAGAGAGCATCCTCGTACGGATCGGCTCTTTCTTCAAGGCTAACCTTCATAACCACGCCTTTCTTGCACATCTCCATGACCATGTAGAGAGAGTCCTCTGTGGGATCGTCTAGGACCTCTATCAGTGAGACAAGATTGTTATGATTGAGTTTCTTCATGATTGCGATTTCCTCCTTGATCAGGTAGAGGGCATCTTGCTTGTGGTCCTCGACGCCTGCCGAATGGCGATGCAGCGGGGAATTGTAGCCATCCAGAGGGCGCCTCGGACCGCGTGGTCTCCGCAACAGATGGGACTGGGCCCGTCTCCTGAGACGAGCCTTTGAGAATTCTTTGACGGCCTATTGATCGGCTGGGTCAGTCACGCGAGCACTTGCCTAATATTGCAGGTAAAATGCCGTTAGTTCATGGCGAGGATGAGCATAGACCCTACATATTCGTTTCCAAATTGGTCGACCGCGAGGTGCACCGCTCCAAAGGAGCCCCTGCCGATTTCTTGCTTGATCACATACTGGTTGATTCTGTGTTCAGCAGTTCCGTCATCCTGGCTCGTGGTGTACTCAGAGCGTGCGTCGAGCGTCTCCTATCCAGGATAGTCAGAACCATTGCACAATGGGACACTGAACGCCACGGGAAGACGGCAGATGTGACTGAAGAGACTCTCGGATGGGCGCTACCTTTACCGGCCGCCTGACTATTGGGTTACGGCGATGATGCCTCTGCGGGCTGCCATATGAGGGTGTTGACCTGAGCATTGTGTGCACGGTCAGATATCAACCTGACCAGTACCATTTCAAAAGAAGAATGGATAGCAAATAAATGCACATACGCAGAACGGAAGGGCCAGGGTTGTGGCAACGGAGGTTGATCGCTTGGCGCACCATTCTGTTGGGCCAGCTCGAGGTTTTCGTGAGCCATGGGAAGCAGAAGATGGAGGAACGACAGCACAAAGGCTGTTTGAGTCTGACAAAGACCTGTCTGAAACTTTGCTGAGTTGCCGTGATGGGGAGGAAATCAAAAATTGACGGCTGCCTTGAGAGCGAATGTGTGTGGGGGAGGAGGGGGGGTAAGAAAGGACCGGAGATGAATGGCGGGTTAGAGATAAGCACCACAGGTACAGTACAAGTGCCTAGTTGAAGGAGAGAAAGAAAGCAGCTTCAGAAGAAAAGAAGACGGCCCAGTCAAGCGAGACAGTTAGCTTGATTAATAAGTTTATAGGTATAGAGACGGGTGAAATATACACGAAGCAGAAGGAGGTGGTTTGTCGCAATTTATTGAGTGGAGGAAAGAGGAGGAATAATTGATCGACGGGAGAGGAGGGGGGGGGGATTACTGTACAGTTGGACTTAACGGTATACACTCGCTCAACCTCACCCTCCACCCTATGGTATTTACTGTACATACTATGTACTCATGCATCTTAACCAGCCTAGACTACACGCGGTAGTTGATTTACAGCGGAGATCATCAGCTGTAGGCTATAGGGCTGATGGTTGGCAGTACGTGTGTATACAGTGTCAAAGTGTGTATAGTATGTACTGTACCCCGTATTGTACTCCTGTTCATGAATTGGTTATTTAGTCGGAACTAGAATCCTGGCTGGGCTTTTTTTTTTATAAAAAAAATGATTTATTTGAACCCCCCAGAAATAGTTCAGAGTATACAATACAGACGAACTTACATAGTGACATAGTGACATATTTCAATCATGTTGAAAGCATTCATAGTACTGTACTGGGTGTTTGATCTCTGATCTCCTTTTTGTTTTAGTATGGAGTAATTTACTCCGTAATTCCTTATCGATAACTAAACACACCGGGGTGGCTCACCGCCCACAAGCTTCCCTCGTCCACTTGTCCGCTATCTAACCCTCCTCCCTCCAACCTCCGCATCTCATCACGACTCACGACTCACGACTCACAATCCTCCTCTTACTCTTGGCTCAGACTCTCTGCACACACATACTCTCTCTCCCGCTTTTTCCTTCCTCGGTTCTTCTTGTCAAATTGTCATCGACTTGTCCCTTCTACCGCAATGGTGGTTTATTCTTTCTATATCTTTGACCGGCACGGTACAGTACCTTTTCTCCGCTTCCCTTGTATTGAGGACCCCAGATTTCCACATGCTAACCTCATCCCGCCCTGCTGTTAGCGGAATGCATATACAAACGACGCTGGTTGCCTCGTCCAGTCTCTACTTCAGGCAGCAAATCTTCGCGACCTACCTCGGAAGCTTCTGCGCCAGCCACCAACGCTCCTGTGCTTCTTGGCCAATCCGCGCGGACAACCGATGACGATGCGAAATTGATCTTTGGTACTGTGTTTTCGCTCCGCAATATGGTGCGCAAAATGGGAGGAGA